TTATATATAGTTATACATATATAAATATATATAATTCTATACATATAATTATATATATAATATATATTTTTATATAATTTTATAATCTTTTGTGGCACGAACTTTCCGGACAACCCAATAATTATATATAAAATATTTTTTTCCAGGTAATTTGATTTGTAAATCATTCAAAAAGTTGTATTTTCTAACTTCTCTGCATTAAGTACAGAAAGTGAAGTAAATGACAAAAAGCTTTCGAACATGTTGAGACTCATTTTTTGTCAGAGAAGAAGATTATCTCTTTTCATTATGATTGCATTGTGATCATCATCGCTTGATGACTGCTTCCAGCAGACAAAGACAACGCGATAATGATCATGAATACATCAGCCTACAGGATGAAAATAAAGACCCTTTTTTCGGACGAAATATATATAGATTGGAAAAAGACACAAACAAGATTACCTGGAACACTGTCTTAAAAAAAGCAGGTTTTTCAGCAAAACTAATTGTAAGTAGTTTGTATATAGAATAAGCTTTTCTCTATTATATTAAACTTATCTACAGTTTTACTAATTTTTTATTTTCTTAATATCGTTATTTTAATGTACTCGCGGATCGCAACGTTATATGACGATACTGAACTTTACAGGGAATGAAACTATTCACATGATGGTACGAGAAGCTACAGGTGTCTTGGGTGGTCTTCTTCTTTTTCTTCATTTTTACAAGAATTTAAATTAAACAAATAATAGATTAAACATTATTTTTAAATGTTTATGTTCCCTGGAAATAAATCAATGAAATCTTTATTAATAGATAATCCAATTCATAATCAAATAAGTCAATTGATAGATTTCAACGATTTATTTAAAGTTACTATTATTCTCTCATTGAGATATCGCAATTTAGATTATCGTAAAATATTCAAAATTTGTGCTAAAATTTGGCCCGTTTTTTGTTAGTATATATTGAAAAGATATTCTATAATAATACCAGCATTATTACATGTAATATATGGTATATGGACAGATACTATTACATGTATGCTTAACTTTCGTGAAATCATTCGAATACATTTATCTTTAAGAAATTAGATTATGGAATTATTTCGCGTTATTACAGTTATTTATATTAGGTGTAGTAAAAAGAAATCCATTATTTTTGCATGAAATTGAATGGAAAAATAATTTCTTTTTACTACACCTAATAGCATGTCATTTCAAAATTAGCTTGATCGATGCTCCCGCATGTAAATAATGTAAATAATATAAATAATGTAAAATCAAAATATTAATTATATTTTTTGTCTTATTCAATTTTACGTAATGAGATAATTAACTCATTATTAGTTATATTAAATTTGTTTCGAAGAGCGAAATTATAGAATTCTTTATCAATTGAATACTTTATTGGTAATATTAATAGGAAAGAGATTTTGGATTATCTTGAGTTGGTTAATAATTTACAAGAAATTAAATATTAGTCATTCCTTTATTGATAATAAATTTTTGTTGAGCTTTCGCCTAGGTCTTCCTGATTGCTAACATCTTGGAGACTTATTTTGGGAGTTCCAGTATTCACAGTGCTATATATATAAAAATTAAAACACCTTTATTATACAATTCGAACTGAAGTTTTCAATTAAATCTGTTCAGAACTTAATTGATACAGCTGATTTGATAATCTCGGGTACTAATAAATCAACGGGTCGCATAAATATACACAACCGGTCTCGGAAGTCATATACAAAATAACATAATAATAAATGATTAATTTCACACTCGAGATACTATTACGTCTTTTAATTAGGCTTAACATTTTCTAATAAATATTAAAAAAAAAATATTATATAAAAAACTAATACAAAACTATAACGCTATGATAAAATTTAGAAACAAATTGTGGAAGTCTATTTTTTTTTAGCAAAAATAAACATTTATATGTTAAACTAAAACGATACATTAGATATAACACGCAAGACATTTTTTTTTTTCAAAGATTGATATTTCTATAACTTGATAAGATTGACTAATCTACTTGGCAAATTTAAACGTGCTAAAACATTCTTTTCCTTTGACAAAGAACAAAAGATTACTCATTATAAAATTTTGTATATAAAAAACATATAGAGAAAAGTGAGGAAATCGTGCGCATCTAAGGGGAATTTATTGCTATGAGATAGCTTTTGAAGTTGAAGTCGGTATATATGTATATATAAGAAAATACAAACCATAAATATATATTCTTCTATCAATATGCATTCTCATATTGAACAATTTTTCATTTGGTGATATTATATTTGACAAAAAATAAAAAAAATAAAAATGAAAAAATTTCTCGCATGATGCCGACGAGTAATTGCATAGATTGAGTAATTATGCGTAAAACAAAAAATCGTAGGAAATTAATGAATGATACTTATTCTAATTCATATGGAATATTGATAAGAAAATGAAAAAATATATTTGTTAAGACAATGTTAATAAAAACTTAATATAAACTTTGGAAAAATAATATAAAAATTGGGAAAATTAATTATTTAAACAAAAATAGCATATGTAATTCTCCACGTCATCATCAACTTCACTGCATTCTTCATAAGCCCACATATTCAGAACTTAGGCAGCATTAAAATCACCCAGTCGACACAAACTAAAGTAACAAAATGTCAACGTTATAATTTCGCACTCTACAATGTAACTGCTATGTAACACCATGTGTTATATTACATTTATATTGTGGTATATACGAAATAACATGGATGTCATGTTACTTTTAATTTGTCGACTAAACAGAGTCCTATATCTTCCGAATTCATTGCAAATAGTGCACTTTTCATTACGAGGAAATTCGAATTATCCATGCGCACAATTTTTAGCCGCGAATTGATTTGATAAGAAAAACAGTCAAAGGCCTTTTAACTTAATTCAATGAATAATAGCTCAAAAGACGCACTTCAATAAGAATATATGCATGTTAAATAAGCAATAAGGAATACAGTCTTATTTTTTGTCAAAATTATTATCAAAATATGTAATTTCACTTTTTTTCGCTTTTTCCGTTAATTACATTTTTCAAATTATATATGTAATTTATGATTATATTTGCAAAGAACTACTTTCAACTTAGAAATTTCGCCGCGGTATAGGTTCCATTCATCAGAAAAGTATTAAAATTACACAATTACCCTATTTTCCATATGTATAAATATACATAAACATATGTATATATAAGTATAAAAATATATGTATACATATAAATATATACATTATATATGAAATGTATGTCCATATATGTCCATATATTCTTCTTTCTTTGTAAAATTATTGTTCGATATAAGAAAAATTATATTTAATTATAATGAAAAAACATAAAAAAAAAATAAAGAATCATTTTCACATTGTTTCTTTTACAAAAAGTTAAGTTTGAAATAA